TCCTAATCGTATTAAGTTTTAAATTCTTTATGAATGAATTTTATCTACAAATTTTAGGTATATTATTATGAGTCTTAATTGGTTTTTCGTAGTACAGTTGTATTTTTTTTATTTTTTTCTTTTAATATTTTAACATATAACAAATAATTGATAGATTTTGAAATATTATCATTATTAGATTTCTTGGTTCCATAGTAATGCCTTTAACGTTAATCTTTTCGAAAAAATATTAGACATATTATTTAATTTTACCTTTCCGATTGATTTTATTTTATATGTATAAACTAATTAGATTTTCTTTCTTTTAAGAAAAACAACATAGATACTGTAAACTTTGTACAATGACAAAAGGGAACTTTTTACCACCTTATTAAGATTAGTTAACTTACAACATTGTCGGCCATAACAAGATGACAAATAGGTTTTCCTTTTCAATAATATAAAACGCTAATCATCCATCGAATAAATACAAAAGAATGATATACCTAAGTATAATCTATGTATCATGTACTAGGGGATGATTATTATATCTATTAACTTTTGTTTAGGAAGAAGAATCCATGTTGACAGAATATAAATCTGTATCAGACATAAATGCTGAAGTCTCACCCATTGAGATGCTCTCTTCTGGAGTTGCAAGAGTCTTATTTTTCTCTCTCATATTGTAATATTGTTGCATCTCCAACTTCTTTACATCCAATACTTCTCTTGTATCTAACACCACCTCTTTAACATCAGTTTTTCCTTCAAGCATGCATACAACTGAAGCCATGGTGGGTCTGTGCATTGGAGAAACTTGTGTGCATAAAAGAGCCACATTAATCATTACCACTACTTCTTCTCTTTTAAAATCATTACCCAACCTCTCATCAACTAGGTCCATTAGGTCACCTTCTTCTCTCAAGACATGCACCTATAAAAACAAAATAGAAATTAGCTCTGATATAAATTAAAATTAAATCTCTACAACATATAAACTTATGATTGTTTTGTTCTTCAAATGTTGCACCACATAACATGTGATTAATTAGATAAAACATGTTTATGAGATAATATGCCTTAACTAGATCAGTCATAACCAAAAACTCATTTCAAAACCTATAAATACAACGATAAGGTAAGAAAGTAGATAGCTGCATTTATTGAACATTTAAGATTTAATTACGATAATCGATCACTAATTAAACATTAACTTAAATGTCGAAGTGTCTTTATAATATATATATATCAGCTCAGACTTGAACTGAACTCCGAAGGAGAAGTTTCCATAAGATATTGGAGGAAGTGAAATGAAATTAAAGAGAAGTAATTGATTTAAATTATGAAGGTGTGGTTCTCCACCCTACGTACTGAAATAAAACTAAATGATGTTTTTAGCAGAGTTTATGAAGCAAAATTTTTCTCAGATATTATACAATACAATTTGGAGATTATGAGAGTAAAAGCTTACCAAATCAACGAGAGAGAAACATCCATCCTTTGGCCAGTTCAAGGTGTTACTCTTTCCGCTAACAATTTCTAGGGCAACAATGCCAAAACTATACACATCTGCTTTGTCAGTTAAATAACCATGCATTGCATATTCTGGAGCCATGTATCCACTGCAGTGTTGAAAACTCATACATTAATACATTTTTCAAATCAAAATAGGTTGACCAAAAGAAATTGGTGATACATTTCACATATTTCAAGTCATGATGCATGTAATCTTAAATATAAAAAGATAAATATAACTAAAAGAATTCATAAAAAACATAATATATATAT